AGAGCGAAGGCCGTCCCGAAGGCCGGCGCAGCCCGTCGGATGTCGGGTGCCGGTGGCGGGGCACGCCGGGACTGAAGGACTGAAGATGCGCTGTCCGTTTCGCCCCTGCGGCAGCACCAGACTCACTCATCTCTTCGGTGGCCAGAACCCATCATGGAGAGATGTGCCAGCTGGCATTCGCATCTTCATCTTTTTAACCCTGGCCCTCCCCCCTAGGAAAAAGGGGGAAAGGGTGCGGGAAATAATGGGGATAAGGGGGGCGGGGGGGATATCAAAGTTGGGGAAAGCATCTACTTTGCAGAGTTTCCAAAATTAGTCAGCATCTCAGCATTGCTGTTCTCATACTGTACCCGGAGGCGGGGGTTCATCCTCGCAAAGAGCTGAACGTTGTCATTAGGGCTGCGTGCTCAACTCCGATTCTGTTTGGCGGGCCAGGTGAAACTAAGAGTAACCATACCATAGTAGAAATCACTGTAAAAAAGAAAAAAAAGAAACAAAAAAAAACAACAAAAAAAAAGTGTAATTTTTTTCAACTGTGATCTTGGTTATATCTGTTTGAAATTCTTTTTTTCCAGTTTTATATACCTACCAGGCTTTGGGGCAGCATAACCCAAAATGCCTGACTCCTGCTAGAACTGTATATTTCTTTCTCATTAACTTGCCTAGTTACAACTAGCTGCAATATAGGCAATAGAAAAGTAGAGCCTTACACGCGCACACACTCATTCCGAGTGCTATCCCAAGGAACGATGGAATATCACAGCATTTAAAATAAGGTGTACACGGATATTCAGTTATGATAGCACGTTTCTATGAAGCAACTTGGCATTTTCAATGGCATGTGAAAAAGGGGTCATCCATCAACCAAGTTGTTTTGATGCTCGGTACATATGAGTAGAGAACAGCAAGACACTTCTGGGGAATAGAGTTATAGTAAATATGGACAAAATCACCAAAAAAAAAGAATATAAAAAAGATAAAAGAAAAAAAAAAAAAGGACAGAAAAAATAGATGAAAAAGACAGGGCCCAAACCTACCAGTTCTTAACACCTTCAATTCCCAGTGAAATTGATGGGAAACCCAGGATCCAAATTATTTGCATTGGGTAGCAATGCCTTGATATGTGCTTTTAAAGAAAACAGATAAAGTAGATTGTTTAAAATTAAAAAAAAGAGAACAAAACCCTACGGAAAATAGGTTCTTTCTTGGCAATTATTTCTTAAAAAAGAAAAGGAATAAGTGTTCTTATCTGAAAATAAAAATGTTCAAAGGGTATCACCACTGCAATTGTATTAATACCACTTTGGACATGTTCTCCAAGTTGTGGTTGCCTTAATAAACTAAAAAGAAATTTTTTTTTTTGTACATAATGTAATTATAAAGCTCTCAGTCTGCATGGATGCAAACTGTGTGTGACAAATCGTCTCTTTAAATGGTCAGTTCAAATTGTACATTTCTCATTCGAGTTGTACGTTAGCCATTGATTTAACTTGGGTAAAATACTCAAGCTCCATTTCCACAGCCCAATTAAGATGTTTAACTAAAACAAGACTGAACATGAAGCTGTTCCATTGCAGTAACAATGCTTTTTTTTTAAAAAAAAAAAAGTCAGTTGTTGAAATCTGAAATAGGTACTTTCAAATTTATTTCATTTCTTTTTAAAGTGTTTCAGTACACTTACACCTGGCATGGCAAGATGGATATTAAAATGGGGGGGGGGAGGGAAAATTCCAGCAAGGGAGTGGGGATTGGAATGATTTAATGATTCACAAGCCAATTGCTATGCCCTTTTTTGAGAAATTTTTGAACTGGCTTATCGCCAAGGAAACTTCAAGTAGCACGACACTAAAAAAACTCAAAACAACAAACCCAACATAAAAGTCCCCACAAAAAAATATTGTGTTTCTATTCTGTTATTTATTTACAAAAAACATATCAAGACTATGGTCTTAAAGGGACACTGTAAACATACAGCTCATTATTTTTAGAGACCGATTTTTCTTTTGTGATAGCACCTTAGCTTATTAAAACTGAATGCGTTTGGGGTTTGGATTGGGGATGGGGGGGTGGGAGAGGGGATTTATTAATTTTTTTTAAAGGCTGGAACAAATCCTGAGATCCTATCTCCTTAAAACTGATAAGAGGGATCACAGAATTTTGTTTCCAATTTATTTTGCGTCATACATCATACTCATTTGCGCTTTTTGTTTTCCAATTAATGCAGCTTAGAAATAAACTGGCTGGTTGCTCATTCTGTTACAACCAATTTTGCTTTTCAGTTCTCTTGAATTAGCAAAGTGTTATTGGCGGAAGTTGAAGGCCTGCAGAAAAAAATGCTTAAGCCTCCTCGAGCTCGTCCCTGCTGCCTTTAAAAGCATTGGACTGAGGTTCAGTTGATTCAGAAATCTTTTTTTTTCCATCCTTCCTTTGGGCCTGAAAGTAGGTGACAGTGTTCCTTAAAATGCAAGAAAAACTATGTTTGGTATTCCAGGAAGCCTATAAACCAAAACTATGCCAGAGAACAACTTATCCTTTTATCTCCAGTGATCTCTTTATTAACATTGAAGGACATTTCAATGAGGAGTGAGTGGAGCAAAGGTCTGAAAGGACCAAATTCTGTCATTGAATGCCCATGATGGCTTCAAGACGTGTCAGACCTTCCAGTGTGCCGATAAGGGCTGGATTTGGCCTGGACCTTTCTAGGTGCACTGGAATGCAACCCCCACCAAGGAAGGATCACTGAATGGCTGCTGCCTCCCATGCTCCCAGAGTTTGAGAAAAAAATGCTTTTACTCTTCCAAAAAGTATTTCCAGAATGCTTCTAGAGGCACAGTGCTTAAGGAGAGCGCCCATTCAGAGGGTACAACCCCACATACTCTTTGCTGAGCAAAAAAGAGGTCCTTTTGGTCCTAGAGAAATTAAAGGTAGCCTTCAAGACTTGGTAGCTGCAAGTTGTCATCGTACGATGGGGTCTATCCAGATGCCCAAGGTCTGTTTGTTGCAGCAAGAAGGTGCTGGTAGAGCACCATGCTGTGGTACAGCCATGGCTGTTTGTCCAAACAACAGCCCAGTGCAGCCGATCCTGGCTGGCAGGAAGATTAGCTTGTTAACTTGTATGAAAGCAGGCTGAAAAAACTGTTAGATGGCACTTAGAATTTGTGTTCTGCATGTTGCATAGTCTATAAATATGATAAGCAAGTTGCTGACAGAATAATATTATAAGGCGATGTACTACATGCAGATCATAAAGGATTTAGTTTTAGGGCTTAAGGCTAAAATCGCACTCCTGCAGTTTATTACCCAACAATATTCCAGTAATGAGCTTTTTGATTTATTTTTTTTCCCCTACCACTAGGAAGATTTACTGAGGAACTCTCTAAATTCTCTCCATACATTACCAAGGACTGTATAAAACTGGGGTGAAAGCCCTTTTGCTTATTAAGACCAAAAAGACCTTTCAAACACCTCCGCTATGTCACAGATTAACACATATCTTAGCATGCTTCAATAAAAACACAAAAAAAAATCCCATGGCTCTGAGCCAATGAAACGAGGCCACAGGTTTGCATACTCTCCGTGGGTCTTGTGTTCCTCAACCCAGCATAAAACCAGGAATGGGGACAAACGTGCGGGGAGAGAGGAAGAAAAAAACCCAAACAACCACTTGTGTCTCCAAGAGCTTCATACTGCCAGTTTCTTGAGCCCTTCAATATTAAAGTTTCTGTGAAGCACCTTGCATGTTTTTGGGTAACTGTCGAAAAAAAAAAAAAAAAAAAGAAAAAAGAAAAAGAAAAAAAAAAGTAAGTAAGTGATAATAGTCATCAGCTACTAGGGTTTCCTACAGCATGGCCCATGACTCTCCACTTGACAGCAATGCTTTGGACTATCTGTATAGAATATTCTGTTCGTATTGTTACATTTTTTGGGTAGCGTCTCGTGCAATGAGGTGCTGGTTCGTCCCTGGGGATTCTGAGCGCTACAGCAATACGACGAATAAACAGGAATCACTGTTCCGTACACAAGGTTTTCCCCCAACTCTTATTTTCACAGGCCCTGATTCAGGACTGCACTTAAGCACATTTAAGTAGTATCCTGAAGAGTAAAAAGAACAACAAAAAAGACAGGAAAAAGAAAAAAAAAAGCAAAACAACAAAACAGGATGGGTTTCTGAATTGAGGAAAAAAACATCATGCCTTTGCAATGGCTCTTCCTTCTATATCATCCAAAAACTGAGGTGCAGCAGTTCTGAGACAATTAGAAGCACATTTCAACAAAGGACACATATTTGAGATCTCCTTAAGATGCCTGCCTAAGTTGAATAAAACACTACATAGAAAAAAAAGAAAAAGAAAAAAATGTAAAAACGTGAAAAGAGCTGCCAATTGGACAACATGGGGGAGCAGTTCAGTCCCATGTTGGTTTGTTTTACTTTTCTTTTTCTTTATTTTTTTAAGCTATTTCTTAAATAATAAATGCACATGAAGTGTTAAATATGTATATACTGTATTTCAAAAAAAAAATCAAACGAATGGGGCACAAGATTGTTCTATAAGTCGTGCTGGCTAATTTTTAGTTTCTATTCATAAGTGGTTTTTAAAAGCCTTTTTTAAAGTGTAATTTGCATGTTCTACTTTGATTGTATGTAAACATATTTTAGAGCAAAAAAATGTATTTGTATTTTATTGAATATAGAGGCAAGAAAAAAAACTTGTACATTGTTTGAAATGTTCTTTTTGTAACAGTTTTTATTCATGAAGCATTTTTGTACATTTAAAAATGGATATGGACTTGATGTTCTTTGAGGCTTAGATACATCTGGCATGCTTTAATGTCATGCTCCTTCATGATCTTAGATGTTGGTTTTTAAACATTTTTTTCTAAAACAAAGCTCAGTTTTTTCGCTACCAAATCAGGTTAGCACAGTATAGAGCACTTAACTAAAAAAAAAAAGAAAAAAAAAAAAGTTAATCCTATTCATATGTTATTCATTGTGTGAAATTAAAGGAATTCAATTCAGTCTAACATGAGTTGTGAATTCTTTTGTCTTATTTTCCATCTGTTTCCCATCACTAAGGAGTTTAAT